CCCCAAAACCCCAAAACCCCAAAACCCCAAAACCCCAAAACCCCAAATTATCCTATTAAGGTTGATATTTAGTAGATTATAATTTATTCAAATAATTTTTTTATCATCTTCCATAAATGACTAGCAATTCAACCCATTCGCAGGAAAGACAGATGCTTAAAAAGAATCTTAGATTAATAATAGGAGCAACCGAAGCTGCTAAAAATTGGTCCCAGTTTGATGCTTTAAATTATGGAGCCGGGTCATCCATCGCTGGTCTCGGATCGAGCTTTCCACTAGCTAAACTCCTGAAAATCAAATGTTTACTTTGAGAGATGCTAAAAGGATTCTCATCTTTCTTAGGAATGTCTCTTTTGGATGGACTTGCCTGCATCAAAGGTGTTGATATCATAGAACTTACTAATTCACCAAACCCAGAATCCTTCCTTGACTGAATGAAAGGAGAAACACCAGATGTTCCTTCAAGCGTGGTAGATTTCTCGTTGGTGCTCTGCTTTTTCTTTGATTTCTTTGGCTTACTTTCCAGGATATTTTCTGTGTATTTTCTGGGCTTTTCAAAAATTTTTATAGGAGAAGACTGGTCTGTTAGAATCAGAATATCTGAATTCTTTCTTAGAGAGGTTTGCTTTGAAGATTTACTTCAAGGCTCTGAATCCTTCTTCTTTTTACATCTCTTACTGCTTTGAATAAAATGTAGATTTCCAGATATATTTAAACTGCTTCCAGTAAATTCTTCTTCATCCTCAACTTGTTCTTTAATAGTACTTCGTTTATCGTCCATGAGTCTGGAGACGTTCTCGCTGACTCTGCAATGTTTAGGACTATTTATGTGGAGAACTCATCATCCCACTTAAAGTTCTATCCTCTTCACTATCCTCTGTCAATGGCTTTGATACACTATTTTTATGATGGTGCCTATAGAGCCTTCGAATGTTGCCAATATTTGTTGGAGTGCGAGCATGATCTGCATCTGATTCATATTCTTCATTTTCTTTCTGTGCCACTAACTTCTCTAAGGTAAGATCCTCAGTGTGTTTTCTAAGTTCTCTCTTAACTCTTCGCTGTACAAGCTCTTCAGCTTTCATTTTGAGGTTCTGAGCGTTGTAGTTCCGAGTCAAAGTCATTTGTTTCTGCAGGGTACTATTAAAATGTCAAAAATTGCAGGTTATGACCAAAATTCTTACCTAATATTTTTAGGATTAGAGCTATGACTTCCAGATTTTGAACTAGAGGAAGGACTCTTCGACAAGTTCTTCTTACTACAATGCTTCCGTTTATGGTGGTGTTTATGATGGTGAGGTTTATGATTGCTGGGACCACTGTGCTTGCTGTGTTTACTATGCTTGCTGTGTTTGCTATGCTTGCTTTTAGCCCCATCACTAGCCTCTTCCTTTATTGTTTTCTTCTTACATTCCTTTCTATGCCTCCAGTTAGGTTTGGTAAAGCTTTTGCTTCTCTGGTGATTCTTTGTCTTAGTAGAAGTATCACTAAATTTCTTCTTTTCAGGAGAATTTGCGCTTTTGAGAGTCTTTTTAGAGTCTTTTCTATTAGTAGAATCGTCATTAACTTTGTGAATCAAAGGGCTATAAGCATTTTCTTGAACTTGCTCAAGATGAGACGACCTTTTGGATATTGAATTCTCAGTTTTAGCTCGAGGATTAGATCCCTTTCCTTCATTCATTGAATTATTTCTCATATCAGAAAGACTTGTCGAGTTCTCCTGCTTATCAGAGGACTTGTTCTGGCTCAAAGTTCGATTGCTAGCACTCCGTGACTTGGCCAAAAGATTTTGGACATGATTTTGATCTGCACTGGCTGTAGAATTCTTACTTGTTTTCTTCTCTTCTTCAGGCTTTGACAAGAATACCTCTGGATTTTCATCAATCTCGTTCATTGCTCTCATAAGTTTCATATTCCTTCTAGTCCTTAAGCTTTTATTTAGGCTGCAAACTAGCAATGATTGGCTTAGGAGGGTCAATAGGCTCTGCCTCTTTATCATTTTCAAATAGTTTTTCTTGATTCTTAACTGGGCTCATAAATTTACTTAAAACTTTATTCTTAATTTTCTTCCTTCTGTGGCATTTATTTATGAGAACCTCATCAGAAAAGTGCTTTCACAAACCTGCCCCAGAACTTAACCTCAACTTTTTCTTCAGCAGCTATAAAAAAATTATCATAAATATTATCATCTAAGGCAACACCCCGAACAAGACCCCTTTAATCACCAAGCCAGCTTTAGATAGCTTACAGTAGTACTGAGGAGCCAGAATTGGGACAATATTGCTTTCCTGTTGTTTATTACTATCATCGGATGGGTCTGACTTTTGTTCTTCTTTCTGCTTATTATTTTCATCCATTTTATTATTAAATAATACCAATAGAGTTCAATTTACTCTAATTCTTGTGGGGTTTTGGGGTTTTGGGGTTTTGGGGTTTTGGGG